GAGTAGGCGTGTACATACGAGTACGAGGTACGGTGGCGCTGGACAAGAGTGCAAGAGGGGGTTATTTGTGGCTCGGCATTGTCACCCTGCCCAGCGCCCTGGAAATCAAAATCATCAAGAATTCTGGGGCAATCGTCCTCCTTTGTCTTGGAACTCCGATCCAAGAAGGAGGAGGCAAGAACAAAATCGTGATTCTCGTTCTCTTGTCTCGATCCTCCCAGAAACACGGCGTCTTGTTTGACCACGAGGCGGTTGGTGGCAGAGCATTGGCAAAGTTGGCAGTTTCTTACACGGGTGCTATGCGAGTGACCTTGAAAAGCTACCTTCGAGTCAGTCAGGATCCCCCGCCTTGGGAAGCCCAAGCGAATACGTGGACCTCCTCGTAAAGGGCCAGTTGACCAACTTCGTATCACCAGGGGCCGCCTTAGGATGGCAGTGATTGCCGCTTGCTCGCCCAATCGCATTTCTCCACATGCCGTTTGACAAAAAAGCCCTGCCAACCTGCTCATGGCTGAACGCTTTGGCTGATGCCTGGGGCACTGCCTCAACCTGTCCTTCTAGACAAAGACGACCCTGAAGCACTTACCGCCAACCCACCTGCAGCAGCAACCAAACCCTGACATTGGCCTGACGGCCTGATAGATCTTCTAGAACCCGTTGATCGCTGTTTAGACCAGCCTGTCTTACGAGTACACACCCTACTAAGGCCGCCCAATAGTTGTCAATCCAGGCATCGAGGGGTCTTGTGCTCCTTGTCTCCCTCTTCATCAGTTTTGTTTGTTCTCGAGCCCATCTCGCTTGGCTCAAATATCGCCTCGGAGGATCCAAACTCTGGTATGAACGTGTCCAATCATGCTCGGCCACTTGGATGTGAAACTTGACCGCCCAATTCGGTAGTCACTGTAGGTGCCAGCCAGTGCACACGGACATAACGAGTAGTAGCAGTAGTAGCAGTCTCCAGGCCCTAGAATCAGCATCGCCAAAACACTAACCGGTGGATGAACGGACGGCACGATGGGACAGCCCTTCAGGCGAGCCACAAGCCGCGCCGTCGTGGTACTGGCACTCTTTGCTAACGAACACAATTCCTTGTACAAAGTACAATACGGCCCAGGCGCAGGCTCAGTCGCAGTCATTTGGCCGACCGGCCTCGTGCGAGAGAGAGAGAGTTCTCTCAAGCGCGCAGGGGTTTCGGATTCGGGTGAAAAGATATCCGACGCCATCCCCAATGTCGGCCGAGATCAAAACTACTACCTGGGGGGGCTCCTCCGTACCTTTATTAGATGCCTGGATGCGTACTCGCTTGGTTGGTTCTAATTGGATGCGTGGAATTTCCCTTGATCGACGATACAAATCCACCCATTACCTTCCTTTCGGAAAAGCGCCCTTCTGCTTGGTTTTTGCCTTCCCTCCCCTCTTTTCTTCTTTTTTTGGCTTTTTTTCCCAATCTTGTGTCGCAAAATACGGAAATACTTCGAATGGAACCGATTCCCATGGTGTGTGGTGGCTATGCGCGACTTTTTTCCCCTCTGAAGGGAATCTTTGGAAGGGGGGAATGTGATGCGATTTGTCGATCAAAAGAGGTAGGGCAAAGTAAGGTCACGGACAGAACTCGGACCCGGGCTGGGGGAAACTCGACGGACGGCCAAGGGGAGCGGAGGGCGAGGGCGGAATTGACATCGTTCCAAGCAAGATTTCCCTTTGTTGCGCTCAAAAAAATAAATCACGAGGTCTCAAGAAAGTTGTGTGCGTCGTACTTGTTTGGACCGAGTACGGTGTACGGTATGTTCTCTGCACCGATTTTCACACAGAAATCAGGGACTGGTAGTAGGTAGTAAGTGATTTGATCGCAAAAGACGGATGCGTCTCCGTGGAGGGCTGGTGGATTATTATTCGGCATTTACTTACGCCCGACGCACCGCAGGCCAATTCTAATTTCTTCCCCCCCTTTGACATATCAAGTATTACCACGGATGTATCTACCTAGGTAATTTGTCGTCGATACTTCCAAAAGCGGCTCCGTGATCTCTCGCGTTTTCCCATCCATCGCGATGGGTATGGGAATGATTATGAGGCATTTTTTCCTCCTATTCTCCCCTTGTCAGCCAGAGATCTCACCTCCACACCTAGGTACGGTACCTTTCGACAACGGTCTTCTGGAATATCGGCACGCGTCATTTTCTTTCTCCATGGGATCCCCTTGGATTCTCCTAGGAGAAAGTGTGGCCAAATCTAGTAGTCCCATGTAACCAGCGCCCGGGAACCATGCACCTTGGTGGTATGGGCTCATGCTTCATGGCCTTCAATGCCGTCATGATACGAGATGCATTTGTCAGGGCGGACACTGTTTGATGGTTCTATCGTTCAGTCTGGCCGCCTGTTCGAACGTGCCTGCCTCGTTCGCAAGTGCTCACCCAAGCCCTAGAGTCAGATTTTCTCCTAATAGTCTGTATTACCAAGTACAAACTATACGCCCTTATCCCCGTCATCTTGCCCACACGTGATATCAGGCCCCCCTTTGGTGGCTTAGGAATCTCATCCAGGGGAAGAGAGGGAGATGGAGAAGGGGCCGGCGCGAGGAGAGCCTTGTCCAGCCTTGTGTAGGTCCGTCTGTCACAGCTCACTACATGGCAATAGTATCTCTATGCCTTCCAAGCCTTGTGCACCGTCTTTGCGCCCCAGACCTGGCCGCGCTTGAGTATGACTTGGTTTCTCCATTCTGGCACGTTGATGGCGTTGATAAAGCGGCTTGCCTCAACGCAGAACCCTGCTCGTGTGCCTCTCGCTGGCGTCGACTCCGTGGCGGCGGCTTTGATGTGTTTCCCCGTGTAGAACTGAAAGCTAGGTTCCGTGCTGAAGATGTCTAGGTGCAGTTGCGTCTTAGGGTGTGACACACTGATCAACGGCTTGAGCTGTCTCTGGCGGGTGTCGAGTGGGAGGTCTGATGTGTCGGTGTCGACCACGAAGCAATGGTCGATGTCTGGCTCTGTCGCGCCTAGAACAAAAGGTTTGTTTGCTTCGATCCCGGGAAAGTCTTCAATGGCCCCGGTCGGGATCAATGCACTGTCCACCACCAGATATTTCGAGGTATAAAGAGTCACCACCGATCCTTCAATGGTGGGCCCGTCGCTCAAGTTGAAGTAGCTGTCCAACCCAGTGTTTAGCAGGCAGGAGTTGGCAATAAAAAGAAACAGCCCATTATGGGAGACCAGACTCACCCATGGTTTGTAATGTTGACGACAGTCTCCTCGCACTCGTCCCCAACCAATTCCGCCTCATACTCTGTTTCCAGCACCGTCTTAGTGACACCACCTTCGTCCTCTGTCCAGGCGATGTACCAGACTCTCAGCTCCACGGTGCCCGGGTACCCCTCTTCCCCGTCCGGCGACACGTAAGTGAAGAGAACGGCTTCCTTCCCGTTGCGGTTGACCGGCCGAGGGCCCTTGAACTGCTTCTTACCCCAGCCCTTGAGGCCGCCGTGTATGTGCGTACTGGACCCTTCATTCGCCGCGAGCTTGTACGACTTGCCGTTCAGCGTGAACTCGGCGTTCTTGATCCGGTTTGCCACGCGACCAATGGTTTCCCCAAAGAATGGCGAGTCGGCGTACGGCTCGGGCGTGGGATACCCCAGCACGATGTTGTGACCGGCCACCTTGAACTCCTGGACGATTGCACCCTGCGGGAGGAACGAAAAGCCGGAATCCGACGACATGGTTGCGACACGCAGAGCAAGACGAACCGGGAGACGATACTAAAGAAGGCCGGGTTGAGTTATAGTCGTCGACTGCAAATACTAACAAAGGTATTTTTGGCGTGAGATATCAATGGGCTTTTTGAGGTCATGATTGTTCACTCCAATCACGCAGGGTGGGGGGTTGTTTTGCTGCCGTGTATTTACCCGGCTCAAATGTACCATAGGCTGAATTGGGTCCAACATGGGATTCATACAAATGCCGACAAGCAACTCCCTCTGCCGGACTATCAGACTTGTCCACAAGACTGATTCTTAGGATTATGGGTGTTCTATTGACACGGGGTTGAAGTTGGGACATGACGCAAGGCTGTTGCGGGGTCGTTTCCGTCCAAAGTCGTCGCGGCTTCTCCTTAATTCGTACAGTGTATATAGAACCCGCGACAAAGCTCTTGACCGGTCGTTCATCGCTTGCCTCTTCGTCACAAGGTGACACTTGGAAAAGCAATCAATTTTGAGGTTGAAGTAGTTCTCGCACATTCTCCATTGAATGGCTGTCATGTGCACATTATGTGTACTTATGTGAGGAGATTGCTCTCTGCTCAATGCATTAGTATATAGAAACCTGGTAAGGTATTCGACGAGGCATGCCAGCCTGCGTTAATCCTGGTCGCACACTGACCATAAACGAGTGCTATGTCCACCCTTGTTCGCCATTTGGAAAATGCTCCACGGCCCTGTTTCCACCCAAAGCGGTAATCTGCTACAAAAAACACGTCCCAATCGAGATATGGTATCATCAAAACCTGCCATCCGCCACATGGTACACACGAAGCCCACTTGGGTGACGTAAAACCAGCCGTGAAGAGATGTCAAGATCACTCCACTGACTCGCAGCAAGACGTCGCCATCGAGGTCGTCTTCTGCTGCCGCTCCTGCACGCCGGATGCGATATCCGCAAGAACCCTCCAATAACCCAAAGCGATCCGAGATAACCCCACCGAAAAAGCCAAACCCGTGCGCCCGCTTTTGGGATGCATTACATTGATATGATCATTAACAGTCGTGTATCGGAAAAAGAACATCCGGTGGTTATGAAATCATGTTGGCGTTGAAATACCGTTGAAGATCTTCCTGACCGGCCCAGTCTTTCATGGTCAGGCAGGGATTGATCGCGGCGGGCACGATATGTTCCTGGAACATGTTTGGTGGAAATGAGTTCATATCGATGGTGGATTCCATTATGGGTGACTCGAATTGATTGATAAAGTCCATGCTGTCATCAAACTCGGACACCGGCGTGTTCCAGCTAAGGTTCGACTGAGTGTGAGGATAGGAATGGGCTTTGGTCGGGATGACGCGTGCGTTCTGGGGGAACGGGCTTTGGTTGGGTGGTGTCGGAGGGAACTGGTTCAGGTTGAAAGGATTGGTGAAATTCGGCCGTTGGGCAACTGGCTCGTAGATGGGAGAGGGAGCGCTCGAGTCTGAATGCGAGTCGTGCAGAGGGCTGTCGTTGCATGAAGCCAGCTCCGTCGGCGATCAGCTTCTGTTGCAGAACCGTGAGGTCCTCCTCAAAGACGTCGCTTGAGTGACCGTCTTGCTTTAGGGCACCCAGTCTCTCCAGAATGTCGTGGGTCAATGGAACACCGTTCGCCGATTCCTTCAGAGGTGCGCCGGTCCAGCCTTGGCCGTTTTGCATTCGCTTGTACAACTCTTGTAGGCCGGCTACAAGTTGTGCTTGCTGGCTTTCGAGCATTTCTACATATCTGCAGGAAACCCACGTGTCAGAAACATTGTTACTGTTCGAGAAGGCCATGCGCTCAGCAACTTACCCTTTGGGGTAGACCTTGTCATGGGACTTCTTGCGCTCTCCGAAGACACAGATGGCATTGTCTGCTTTGCATCGACTACAGGGACTGGCACCGTCGCACTGCTATGTGTCAGCCACACCTGGAGTACACCGAGAATCGGCGCAATAGACCGACCTTTGACTTCTTTAAACGGCAGCGATCGCAAGCTTTGCATACTCGCTTGCGAATGCCGCCGTCCATAGGTGATGAAGGTTCCAGAGGGGGAGTCATGATAGTAGCGCCCATTGCTGGTCCGAATCTGGGATTGCTGTGACCGTAGTTGTCTCCTCCGAGGTGGATGGACAAGGAAAGACTATATCTCAATGGAAGGGTGGCCCGACGAGGTAAGGAGACCAAGGCACGAGCAGGATATTATACGAAGACAAGACTGTATCCTGAACAAGATCGAGGTTGGGTATGTCAGCTTATGGAAGTTCCGTCGACAATGGTATCCAAAGAGGTGGGTTTCGAGGAGCGTAGGGTGAGAGGGAGGGCGACAAGGCGTGAGGCATGAGGCCTTATATCATGTGTAGTACCCAGTGGTACTCAGCGTGAAGGGCTGGGTTACTAACAAGACATAAGTTAGCTGGGGATCCACCATGATGAGCATTTCAGACCAGGGGGGGTGTATGTGTGTGAGCCGTTCGACTTTTTCGTTCGAACCAAAAAAGAGAGTCCACTCGAGGCAAGGATGGAGAGCGGGCAAAAAGTTTGATGCACGTCCCCTTGGTGCCGTACTCGTACGCCGCAACACAACACACACACTGCACACAAAGCAGAAAAGGTGCAAGCGACAGGGATGGATATGGAGTCCCTGAGAGTGGAACCCTGTGAGCTAACGATTAGCAGGGGGGTGTGGGTGGATAGGACGATGGGTTGGGTTGGATGATGACATGATGCTGGCGTGGATCGTGACTGACTGACGCTTTGGACGCTTGTTGACGGTGCGTGGCTGCATAGGGATTACGATGACCACGCTTAGTGGGGTGTGTCGGGGCTACCATGCCTAGCTCTTTCGCTGCTGGGCACAACCTGGGCATCTACTTGGAGGCAGCTGGGCTCCTGGGCGCCGACCGACCGAGGGGACACCCTACTACTCGCGCTCTAGGCTACCTAGGGCACCGTGGGAACACCTAAGCACCGAGCCTACCACAACCTGCACAACCTGGAACCTGGGAAAAAAACCCTGGAATTTCCCATTACGATTACGGCGAGGTACGACTTGGACCCTGTGCTGGATGAACAACTGGCACATATCGGTGCATACGCCTTCACTACTCGTACTAAATTACCCATTCACCGAAGCCCCGATCTCCCATTATTAGCTCTTTCTCCATTTACATAGTGTCTTCCCCCGCTCGCCTCATCTACGCATAACCATGTATCCCGGACTTCGGAATATTCTGAAAGAGAAGTACGCCCTGGCAAAAGCAAAGCCAACAGGAAAACAATTGCCCATTTCCCGGGACTCGGCATTCAGTCCACCCTCAGCAAGCCAGGTCAGAGTAACCTTAGGCGCGACGAAAAGAGCGAAGAGGCGAGGCCGCCTCTCTGGCCTGTGCACGACTTCCGCTTTGGTCCAACGATGCGATTATGTGTGCACCGAACCAATAGCCTCATCTACTGGACCCGGGCTGAGTCGACCACACCGCAGCTTTGATCCCCAGTTCGCAATCTTTACTTCTTTCTGTGGGAGGGGCGGCCATTGACCAGATACGTCATGAGGACTTCTATACCAAGCCGATGGTGGTCCTTACTTTGTATACGGAGAACAGTCCTGTTGCTAGTTGACGGCTTGAGCAGAGGGAAATATAATGTGCGAATTTCCTCCGAACCATCGCAAGGCCGAAGACGATCAAAAAAAAGACGCAAACTGGGTCACGAAGGGGGGGGAAGAAGAGCGCTGCAATAATGCCTCTCATGATTAGTTTTCTGGTATCGTAGGGTCGTATACGCGGGATCGATACGACTTGGCATGTAATGGTCGTATGGCTTGAATTTTCCCGGTAAGATAATTTGAATTCCGCGATGAAATAATATCGTCTTTTGATTTCTTTTTTTCCTTCTGCAACTTTGCTTTCTAAGGCACCCACCAACCAGCCACGGCGGAATTATCGAAATCTCCCTTCATTCTTTACCAAGCGCTCTTTCTTTTGCTATCCCAATACCTTATCTCTACCCAGGCTCTTCGGGCCTTCAAGGTTACCCGCTGGTCAAAAGGTTAAGAGCCCTGGTTGAGTTTCCCGCTTGTCCATTGTCCAGGATAATCATGTTCTAGCTTTAGCCAGGATGAACAAACAAGAAGCGGCCGCTCTCATTCGTGTCCCTGCGGAGGGATCCCGACCCGGAGGAATGTTGGATCAATTGTTTGGTCCGACTCCGTTTGCGCCTCGGATAATCTTTGCTGACCACGTTTGCAGCGGCTTCCCCTGTTTCCCCTGTTTGCTCTGCTGGTCGTTTGGTGTCTGGTTGCTTGAATGATCATGACTAACCCCAGCGCCGCTTGTTCAAATCATCGGTCGCACCACTACCCGTTTTAAGATATTCTTTCTCTTGTCTCGCCTGCTTTAGTACCGTCGACTATCAAATGATCGATTTCATCTGTTGGCCTCTCTTGGTTAATACGCGGCGCAAAGAAAAAAGCCCAGAGGCCCAATCGGCCGCCATGCCCCTTTTTGGGAAATATGCACACATTCAGCATCATTAGTCAAGCCACTGTCGTTTATGCTCACCTTCAACCACAAGGCGTCTTGTCTCATTTGCCTCCCCCGCAAACCCAACTGTAGATAACTACCCGTCCGTCCCATCATGGCGAAGTCTCAAACACAAACCACAACCACTACCACGTGGAATTGGGACCGGGGTATATTCTGCCACCTCCGTTTCTTGCTGCACACACCAGTGGTCCCAGTCCGTGCTTTTTCTTTTGCTGACTATGCTTCTCCTTTGAGTAGTGTTACAGGTGTCTCGTACCACCTGCGTCATAGGCTGGCCCACAGCTATAATGTAGGCCCGCAGTCCTTTGAACAGTTGCTGGCCTACCTGCCACCATCTCCATTCTTCCGCAGGAATTGATTTCCCTTGGGATTCAAGCTATCGCTTCACCGTTATCGCCCGGCTTTCCTTATGGGGCAGGTGTAAGACGGGCCGCTATTGGTTTAGCCATTTGCTCCCACTGCTGGTCGTAGCGTTGCCATAGTACCATACCATCGTACGAGGTACAACACAAGTAGGCTTTCATTCGGACCCGCACACATCGCCTGCTTTCTGTACTTTCAGCCCTAGCACCTCAACACCTGAGCTATGACGTCGTTGTGGCTTCCCCAAACATGTGCAGGCTGCATGTTTACCGTACACACATATCAGGCACCCCCTGTACACGGGAGTGTACGTACACCGTTCAACTAGTAATTCCCATGTCGGACCGTATCTAGTACGAACACACGCCAGGAACCACATGCCACCAACAACTGTCCCTGCGGTGGCGACCGACGCACGTAGCGACAGACAGTCGATCTCCACGTTTGAAAATGCCAGGGACGTTTTGCACTCAGGAACGAGAAGAAACATTGGAGAAGCTGTTGTAAATGAAAGGTAGAGTCTGCCCCCTTGTCCTTGAGCCACACATGTGTCCACCGTAGGCAAACTGGGTCAGTGAAGGGCTTAGCCGACGGTGCATCTCGGATGAATTGCAAAAACCAAAGATCTAGAGGCTCCATGCCTCGAAAGACGCACACCACGTTCTCCTTTTCAGGACTTGTTCTCAGTAAGGAAGACATGGGATGCATGTCGTCGTCGCATTACCAAAGCAAGGCAACCACTGACCTAATCCAAACCCTGTACTCCACAGATAGAATACGAGTGTGGGATATCAAAAATTTGGGGATAGGCGTTTCGTAGCGCCAAAAAGCCATGGCCTCGCTCGACTGGAGTCTTGAAAGCAGCCGCGGCCGTGGTAAAGCCAACAAGCAACTCCGTTGATATGGTCGGCTGAAGTAATCACGTATGGTGACTGCTGTCGGCGCTCCACATGGCTAACTTCTTGTAGACCCTACCCAGAAGAGATCATGCAAGTCATGCTTCGAGATCAATACGCAGGTTAAGACAGCTCACTCAGCATGGGTCGCTCCAGCCACATACCGTGAATCTGCCCCAGATTCGTCATCCAGCAGTATCTTTGCCGCAAATGGAAGTCCCGTTGGGCGTCGCGGTGTACCACTGTGTGCTCAACAAACAGCGACACTGATCACTTCTCAATGATCCGCTATAGGTTGACCTGGGATCAGATATCTGTTCGACACCTGAAGGTATCAACCTGGAATGGCTCTGCCTTCGTTGGAGCCGATCTCAAGCTCAAGTAACCAGCGGAGGAAAGCCGAGCACCGGTCTGATTCGCTGCCGAAAGCTAAAGACTCATGCACCAACGTACCACACCTCTACGCCGAGGACTTCAAATCGTCGGCCTTCTTCGCTTAGTGGTTCGTTCCCAAACGTAGGACATGATTCGCTGATGCCACTATTCAAGTCGTCGTCCAACCACAGGCCATAGTGCCCATCCCCACCACCGATGGAGAAATACCCCGACTCACAATACATCAGGAAATCGTTCACGCCACTATAAGGAAATGCTTTAAACCTGATTCGGTCGGGTGTTGACGCACCTGAGCGATCAGGAGCTGATTGTAGGTGTGTGGATGGTTCCTTGGTGTTGGAAGGTTGTGGTAATGAGGTCGTCGACGTCGAGGGTGTCCGACGCTCCCCCCGAATCGTAGTGAATCGTTGCAGGTTGGTGGTATCGGCACTGGGGGGCGGTGGTAGTCCAGCCAACTCTAGCAAATCTTGGGAGGCGGGCTCCGAACCAGGGTGCAGGTTTGTAGACAGGTCGCGCATTGCGGGCAATATGCTTGCTCGCCAGAGGAAACATTCGCCGGTGCCAAAGTAATGAAGAGATGGTTTGGGTACGTCCGAGAGATACGCACCAAAGACAGATCCATTTGTTGCTGATGCCGATCCGTCTCTTACTACTAGGACATATCCTGAGCGCTGAGTGTAGGTCGATATGTGGGCGCAGTGTTCGTACAAGGTCGCCAACGAGGATCCATGAGCCTCTAGTGAGTATGCCAACGTCCAGTGATCAATGAGTTGAAGTCTTGGAGGGAGTAAAAGTCGAATTTCTTCGGCCAGTGAGCGGGTCAAAAGCAACGAGCCCGCGGCTTTCTGGGATAATGGAT